ATGAATATAGTACAAGGTACAAGAAATTACTGGGATGCCCCTGATTAGTGATGGGACACCCAGATGACTTAAATCATTAAACAGGATTAGGCCCATTAACATAGGCCCAGTTACAAGATAAGTTAAACATAAGAATGGGCTAATAAGAACTCTTATCAGCCGAACATCACTCTAACATTCTAACACATAATTCTCTCCATTCAGTTTAATGGAGGTCATTTGAACATTTAGGTAGTCAGTAGGTATCATCAGATTAGATTTGCTATCACTGCTATCTCCCATTGCTGAATTCTGTTATTACTGAATTCGGCACACTGCACACTACTTGGTCACACTGATCACACTGGTTTCACTCTTGTTATTGCTGAAAATTGCACTCTTTACACAACAAACCCTACCCCACAACTACCTGAAATTTCACCACACTATATGAGGACCAGTCCCCCTTTGAATCACACAAAAAAACAACATAAACCCTAGCATACTACAGTCTGAAATCCCACCATACGATTTGAAACATACTTCCTTTTTGATTCATAGCAAAAATATGCATAGAAATCTCTTACCTCATCACCCGAAAACAAACCACAGAAAAAGAAAATCAGACCACACAAGACACCCACCGCACCACACGAATCAACCCTCTTCTCTTCATCGATTAGGGGAGGGCTTTTTAGAAACCACAGCAACCGACCATGAACAGCACAATTGGAGGCATAGAGACCTCCAAGGGAAGAGGATGACCACTCCTTTTCAGCCCTTTCCCTTATCTCCAATCGATGGCAGAGAAATCAAAAGAAAACCCTAGATTGAGTGCGCAAAAAACCGAAATCTGGGCAGATCCGAGTTGTTTAGTTGAGCTCTGATACCATATTATGATTCAGCCTGCCCTTGAGTTCTGTTAGTTTGATAACAGCCAAGAAGAGAGAAGAAGAAAGAAGAAAGAAAGAGAGAGAGAAAAGAGGAGAAACGGAGAGAAGAAAAGTCTTGTTCGAATGAGAGAACAATTACCTCTCCCATTCGGCCAGACATGTTTTATATTACTAACATAATGGAAAAGACACATGTACCCTTACTTAAGTGAGGGACACTAGTTCTAATATAATATTACAGATCAGCAACCTCAACATAAGTTTAAAGACAGAAATACCCCTACACTAACACTCCTAAAAAAGATGTGGTTTTGTATGTATTGATCGGAAGATCAGTTTGCAAGTCTTAAATTAATGAAAAATATCATTCTGTCCTTAGCCATACAAATACGAGCTTTCTGGGTTATGCAAACTTTACCTTCAATTGAACAATTTAGAAGATTATTTAAAAACAAAAAAAAACCAAATTAGAAGATCAGTAAAAAGCGGAAAAAACAAATTAGAATATCAGTTTTAGTATAGTATGGAGTTATACATCCATTATTGTACAGTCTTACCTGAGGACTGTGTTTCTCTTGAAAATTTAATAAATGTCCAATATGTGGCACTGGCAAGGAGCACAGAATCAAAAGTCCAAGGTGCTAAATCAAGAGAATGGAAAGACTGAATAGTAAGAAGTATTTTTAGTATGTGCTTGAGGATAGATGCTTTATTGAATGAAATAAAACAACATGATCTTTTTAATGGAGCCCAAATCGTCAAGACAAGATTTAGGTGAAGAATATGGTGGTTTTGGTGATGAATTAATTAGTGCATGTTGGTGTATAGTGTTTCCTAGTATTTGATCCAATAACCTGGTGACATTGTACAGTGGCGATTTCTCTCTTTCTTACATTTCTTATTAGGGGATCTCCTGTTACACCTTTTACTTTATTGTTCTAAGACCAAGAGGCTTTGGCATGTTTCTTCATAATGCGTGATGTAATTTTTTGCTTTTGCAGAAAAACCATTTGTCAGGCTTAAGAAAGTCTTATTTGAAGATATCCTTTGATACAGTTCAACAATTGATGCGTGTGAAAAATGATCTACTGCATGTTGTCGAAAGAAACCAGGCAAAGCTTGAAGCTGCAGAAGCATATGAATCTATATTAAGCGGGAAGGGGTAAGATCAACCATCTAGAGTCATTTTATTGCGTAGAGAATAATTTGTCTATTGTTATCTTTCCTGGAGGAGGTTTCTATATTTACCTTATTTTTCTGTTTAGACTGGCTTGTTCATGATATTGTTTTTTCCTGGAAGGTGTTTGCATCTCTTTCCTTGGTTCTAAAATGATTTCTTGCTTTTATCATGACTTGCAGCAAGCAAAGACCTCAAGATTTTATTGATTGTATTATTGATCTTCGCGAGTATGACGTTCCATATCATGTTCGTTTTGCCATTGACAATGGTGATTTCTTATTTCATGCTGTTGATTTTGCCTTTTTGGAGCTTAGATTTCATTTTACAGTTTTTAGATTTATATCCAATATGCTTATTTCCCCTCTTTATGAGTTCTTGTTTGTTGGGAGGTTCTTTTCAGATGTAAGATGTGGGCAGTGGTATGATGTTAGCATATCAAGTACTGGAGTTACCCTAGAGAAGAGGGCTGATCTTCTACAACGTGCTGAAGTTCATGTATGTGCATTTGATATTGAGACAACAAAACTTCCACTGAAATTTCCTGATGCGGAATATGATCTGATAATGATGATTTCGTACATGGTTGATGGACAAGGCTATCTCATAATTAACAGAGAGGTATATTTCATCACTCATGATGCTTTTGCTCTATTTTCTCTACATTTTCAATGAACCTTTTCTGATTACTTTTTCCCCTTTGATCACCCTCAGCTTATGCATAAATTTTGATATGTTGCTGTTGACATATTGCTTTCTGTTTTTGTTCCTTTCCTGAAAACCTTGGGTTCCAATGCAGATCCTCCTCTAGATTCATGCGGAAAATAATCTCTGGTTTTCTTGAGTTTTCTTTTTTTGGGTGAAAAAACTAAAAACTTCAGAACTCTTCTGGATCATCAACTAACCTTCAGTTGCTCTCCAAAAACGTTTCCTAAAACCAGATGATGGGCAGTCCTATGTTCAACTTCCTAAATACTCCATGCAGCTTGCTGATCCTAAGACTGCATGGTCACCCATGTAAAGGTTGAGTGAACCAAGTTTCTAGCTCTTCTAGATTTCTACTGAGTTGATTGATCTTCTAGTATGCTTAATTTGAAACTACAGCAGTATGTTCAACTTCGTAAATACACCATATAGCTTGATGATCCTTAGAGTCTTAGACTGCATGGTCACCTAGGAGAAGGTTGAGTAAACCAAGTCTTGTATCTCTTCTAGATTTTAAGCAAGTTGATTGATCTTCTAGTATTTGATTATTTAAGAAATTGATCTTCTAGTATGTTTAATTTGAAATTACAGCAGTATAGAATATAGAAGAGGAGAAACAAAAAGAGAAGAATACTTTATACTAGACAATCAAAATGTATGGGCCTCTATATTACTTATATATGAAATGTCAAGGCAGTTAAAATGACTAGAATGGCACTACTTGTAAAGCAACTATAAACAACCGTAAATAATGAAAAAGTAATTAAACAACTCCAGTAATAAAGGCCCACTAAGCCCACTGGAAAGAAATAAACTCATCTTTCAATAGATATCTATGATAAAATTGATAAAAAATAGATATCTATGATAAATAAGCCATATATTTAACAAGAAATGCCTACATTCAATGTCCTTACATCAAAATTAGAGGTTATGCGAAATTGGGAGTTTCTATGAAAAGGTCTAGGGAGAGAGGTTTCATTTGTAAATTGGATCTTGAAAAGGCCTATGATTTGGTGGATTGGGAGTTTCTATTAGAGGTTATGCGAAACTGTGGATTTGGGGGCAAGTGGTGTAGTTGGATTTTTGGGTGTATTAGTACTTGTCACTACTTTATTTTGGTAAATGGTATGGTGAGGGACTTTTTTCCAGCTTGCAGGGGTGTCAGGCAAGGGGGTCCACTCTCACCCTTCCTTTTTACCTTAGTAGCTGATGTGATTAGTAGGATCATTACTAAGGCTGATAGTGAAGATGCCATTAGGGGTTGGAGAATAGGGAGACACCAAGTCCC